CGATTCCATCCAACTGAAGAGATTAAGCAATGAACGCCGAGCATAGTTGAAGATGGACCCCGTTTCTGCGGTTGTTGCAGCAAGCATGAGGTCCTCGTACGTAGGGTGTTCACTTCAAACATGGGATATCAGGCTGGAATACCCGTTTCGTCGGGCTTGCTTTCTTACAGTGCCGCAACGACAACGATAATATTGGGGGATAACTTTATCGTATTCGTCGTGGCACGGCTGAAAGGAAAAACCAGCCACTTGCGCCGGAGTGAAGCGAGGGTGGCGACGAAGGGCAACGACCATGAGAGTTGCTGGCGTTGTTGGTGAATTTGAAAGTGATGACCTCAAAATTGGTCAGACGTGGCAGCCCAATGACTGGTAGAGATTGTTTGGCATAATATAAGTAAATTCCTTCATAAATTACCTGTTTTAATGTGTTACAAACATAAATTATGGATACGTTTAGGATTGAGCATCAAAATACATAATTCGCTAATATTTATCAAAATTACTTTGGTGCCATTTTTTTCGGGAGCCCTGCTGGTGAGCAAACCGCGGATGACAGTGTGTAGCGAAGAAGAGCAACCTCCGTACACACTGTGTTGAGAGGAATCATTTGGTACGGTCGCCCTCATGTCTGACTAACTGTAGCTTGCCCGCCAATAGTGTGGTACATCTGTAAGGGCTGATACTACAGCAGTTTACGCGTATAGCCGATTTGAGGTAGATCCTCGGAGAGCATTCTTGCACAACAAACACGTTGTCATACTGCCATAAAATCCTAGCGTGGGCACGCTGGGTTCCGGTGATGTTTTGCTTTCGTTTTTAAGTTGTGGTAGTGAGCACTCACAATTCAAGAAATGTTTCTGTACTGCAGGAAGCGAGTTCCTTACCTTATAATGATAATATCGAGAATCTGAAGACCAACTTGGACAGACGCTACACGGTCGAGTAGATTGCGTAACTTCAAGTTAACCGCTTCTCGCTAATTGGCCTAAACTATTAAGGTGCTTCAGCCTTTGCTGATTATCGCTTCACCAGGGACAGCCCCGGGTTACGCCGGTCGTAACCCGGCCACACACAACTTAAATGGGAATGGAAAAATATTTCGAGAGGAATGGCCGGGATGACATTCAGACGAAAAAAAACATTAAAATTTTTCGTCTGAATGCCATCCCGGCCAATCAGATCTCTCGAAATATTTTTCCATTCCCATTTAAGTTGTGTTCGTTTGGCTTTATTGGACGCCTTCCAAAAACGGAGAAATCACCTAACAAAACTGCAGCAGGTATGTCAGCGCATATCGTCGAATGGACGCCTTCCAAAAATAGAGCAAGCACCTGACATACCTGTAGCAGATATGGCAGGTTTTATCAACCTGTGTGTCAACTTGATTTGTCTTGCCCCACCACAAATCTAGTAAGAGGAGGTACCCTGGTCGGTGCACAGTGTCCCCTCCGCAAGAAGATACTAAAGTTAATTAGCGGTTTTATGTATTGCGGCAATTTCAATTGGACTAAAATCTTGCTGAATCTTTCCAGATTCTGCTTGAAGCTCAGCACTTCCCCTTTAGAGACGTTAACGAACAACATGCACGAGGAGGACGATGACTTCGACGTGCTGCTGCTATTGACCGCCGCACACTCGCGGCGCGAAGCTTGTTTGAGCAGTGTCCGCCGTGAAGTGCACCAGCAGATGATAGAGGGCGCGTGGCGCGCTGCAATGCTCACACGTCACTACTTGACGGTGTCATGCTTGGATGTACCCTGCGTGGCCGCGTGGATGGCCCTTTACAAGAACGGCTTTGACTCAAACTTTCTGAATGCTACTAGTCTGACGAGGTAAGTTACGAATTTTTGGTGTGTTATCGGGCTAACTATATACTGTCACGTACTACACAGAGCTTCTTTCAAGCACTTACTGCGCCGGTTTGCGCGCTACTACTACATCCCTCCGGCCAGAAGCAGAGGCAAGCCGCCAAAACTGCGCTACCATCATCAGGCTCTTGGTCTCGTTCTCTGCTTCTACGTCGGGTCGATGGAGAACGGAACGCTGTGCATGTTGTTCGGGGTACCTCCGAGCACTTTATCTCGGACGCTGTGCAAAGCCGAAGAGGCGCTGTCTT